TATTTAGGAAACTATCAGCAAAATAGTTGACTGCAGGCCTCTAGCCAAAATTCTCTGCAATTTATTATGAGCTATTGAAAAGCTCTCTTTAACAATCTTGTTTTATTAATTGAATATTTAATTCTGTTGGTGGAAATTTCAGAATGCTGAACAGTTGAGTGAGAACCTCTCACTCCATTTCCACCAACAGAATTAAATATTCAATTAATAAAACAAGATTAACAGTTCAATTATATATGTATTTAACTCAGAAACAAGTTCAAATGAATCTAAATAGTTACTCTCTGCTTTGTGTGTAAGACAACAACCTAGAACAAAATCCAATTTAACTGGTGACCACAATGGAACTTCTCAAGCACACACCTCTGTGACACCCAAAAATGGCTCCAGAGAGTTTCCTCTTCCCACCCTCCATGGTTTCACAGAGATAAATGAAGTTTGAACAGGTGAGTGGGATTTCTCCCTCCCAGTTCTGCTCAACTGTGGTGTTCTGCTAATGGAAGTCCACAGCTTGTTCTTCACTTGCAGTGGTGTTGTCCACTGGCAAGTCAAAACACTCTTGCCCAAAAGAATGTTGAAAACTACATCTACATCTGTAGCAAATACTGGGTGTAAGCTTCAAATCTATTACTTATGATACTAAAGCTTGGTTTCAGAGTGAAAGTTCAAAGAAAGATGGAATTTGCATCTGCTTCTGCTCTTACTGCTCTTTGAGCTTCCTAAAAAGCTCTTTCTTGAATCAAATGACTTTCCTGAATCATTCAGGATAGGATGCATGCACAGGAGAATTCAATTCAGGGAAATTCTTGCACTCATGGGATACAGAGAGATAGGATGATAAAAGGTACTGTTCTATAAATCCTCCTCCACTTATGGTTCTTAGGATCCATGTTATTTGATATTAGAGCTTTGTAGGCTGCTCAATATTCAATGAGCATTTCAATGAGTCATTAAAGCATTTTTAACACAACAGATAGGGTACCTCAACCATTTGTGGGTGGAAAAACTAACGTACAAAAATATTTGCAAAACCTTTAACATTAATCTACTTGACACATATTACTAATCCCACATTTGGAATAATTTATCAAACTTGCATATCTGAAATCTGGATTCTATTTATACAACATGGGCTGACCCAAGTAGATAACCCTTGATCCCCTCCCCCCTTCTTCTTCCTGTCATCCACTGGTAAAATATTTTTACTGGTTGTCAGTTGTATTATATATTACTTTCTTTGCAAGATTTTAGAAAACACACTTGTGATTCATCACTCAGGATTTTGGATGAAATTGTTTAGACAGCCAGTGTGGTGTTGTGATTTGAGCATTGGACTAATCTGGATACTAGGATTCAAATCCTCACTTGGCCTTGGAAACTCACTGGGTGATTTTGGACCAGTTACTCTCTCTCAGCCTCAGAAGGAGGCTGAAGCAACCCCATTGAACAAGTCTTTCCTGTTGTTTTTGCCTCCTTTTGAGGTCAGAGTCACCATATGTTGGAAATGACTGGAAGTCATACAACAAGTTCTCTTTTGAAAGTTTTGGAATCTCATTTTGTTTTGAAAGCCTTATCCTCTTCCTTTTCATTTTGTTTTGGTTTTGATTCTATGTGGATATATAGACGAGCTTGATATGAACCCAATACTTTCAGCATCCAAGACCATATTGTCTCAGCTTCCATAATGAGATCAGATCATCTTGTTGTGTACCTTCAAGTCATTTCCAACTTATGGCGATCCTAAAGTGGGACATTCCTGGCAAGATTTGTTAGAGGGGATTTACCTTTGCCTTCTTCTGAGGCTGGGAGGATGTTACTTGCCCAAGATAATCCAGTCGGTTTTCATGTTTAAGCAGGGATTTTAACCCTAGTCTCCAGAGTCATAGTCCAACGCTCCCAAACCACTAAACCATACTAGCTCTCATTGGACTATCCAGTCCAGCTCTATCTCTTCTAACTCACAGCAGTTCTTTCTTAGCCCTGCTGAAACTCTTTAACTGGAATTAAAGAAGCCAGAAAATACATCTAGTGCTTTCTGCATGCAAAGCATGTCTTCTTCAAAAGGCAAGAAGTCAGATTTAACAGCCTAGATCCAAGAGCATAATTCCATTCCCAGAAACAGTTCCATTAGCAGAACCAGGAATAGATAATGCTACTCCCACTCCTGCCTTGGCATACTTTTAAATCTGCTCCAGAGGACTGGAAAACTGTCTGAAGCAGATTTTCAGGTGCCACATGAGGAAGGAAAGGAAGGAGCAGACAGCCCAATTACACTAGCAGAATTATGCTACAATAAGAGTGCATCTACACTGTAGAAATAATGTTGTTTGACACCACTTTAACTAGCATGGCTCAATCCTACAGAATCCCAGGATTTGTAGTTTTATGGGGCACCAATATGCTTTGCCAGAGATGGCTAAAGACCTTTTAAAGCAGGGGTAGGCAACCTTTCCCCTTTAAGGGCCGAGGGACTTCAGCTCCCAGAAGCCTCAGCCATGTTGGCCAATAGTCCCATGTTGGCCAATAGCTCCTGGGATTCTGGGAGCCGAAGTCCCTCGGCCCTTAAAGGGGAAAGGTTGCCTACCCCTGTTTTAAAGCTATAAATCACAGGATTCCATAGGATGGAGCTACAGCACTTAAAGTGGTGTCAAACTGCATTATTTCTACAGTGATATATGCACCCAAAGACAACTTTAGACATAACCTACTGTCACAGCCTTAGGACATTCACTACAGATGTAGAATGTCCAGAAATTTTGGAACCATTCAGGGGGGACTAATATTCTGTTTTCAGTAAAATGCAATTTTTAGAAAAATTGGGAAAATGTAATATTACCTACTTAAACCTTGAAATACATTTTGTTACTAGAACAGATCAAGCCAGAGATACCCCTGGAAGCCAAGATGACCAAACTGAAGCTGTCATACTTTGGACACATCATGAGAAGGCATGAATCGTTGGAAAAGACAATAATGTTAGGAAAGGTGGAGGGAAGTAGAAAGCGAGGAAGGCCACATGCTAGATAGATGGACTTTATTAAAGAGACCACGAATAAAAGTTTGCAGGATCTGGGCAGAGCAGTAGAGGCCTGGAGATGTCTCATCCATAGGGTTCAGACCAATGCGAAGGCAGTTAACAACAAGAACAACAAACCTACTTCCATAGAACTGCAACCTTAATCTGAACTCTTTTGGAGACTATTAATCACAAATACCATTCTTACTACTTTTTTTTTTTTAAAGTCTGTGATTACTATGATCAAATGGAAAAAACATGATGAAACTACTGCAGGTAAACTGTCATATGCACACATGATATGCAGAATTATATATTGCTAATGTATCTTCACTCACTTTTGAACATTAGTTCACAGTACTACCACTCACGGAGTGCACCTGAAGACTGTTCTCCGTCCTACATCTTCTTCCCTTTGTCCTGGACCTAGCCCTTGAATTTGAAATTTAGTTCTGATATCACATTCCCATTTTCCAAATCACAAAAATATTTCTACCCAGATCAATAGAACTTGTTTTCTTTAAGAATACTGCTATAACAGACTAGGACTAACCTTATACCAGTCACTTACTTCTAAATAATCATTCAGATTAAAATCTAAAACTACTGACTATGAAATATTAGTAAAAGGTAGCTGATTAGTGCTGATGATTTGACAATGATGAAGAGGCCATATTTCACAATTAGACAGTTCAAAGGATCCACACTGTCCATAATTTCCATCTCTGGTTTCTGTCACAGGTCACCTGGGCAGTATTACTTTTTGGGGTACTTATCTTTCTCTCACCTCAAGATTTAAGATGATAACACTCCCAAATGCTAAAAGGTACAGTGCATCTTTGTTTTAAAGATCAATTACGGTAAATCACAACTCTCACATCGCAATAAACAAAAATGTATTGCTGCTGCTGCTGTTGTTGTGCAGATTCAAGTTGATTCCAATTTACATGATCTTAAGGTGAATCTATCATAGAGATTTCTTGGTAAGATTTGTCAGAGAGGGTTTGCTATTGTCTTCCTCTGAGGTTGAGACCTCAAAATGATGAGTGGTGGGGCTACACATCTGCCTACACAGCACATATCATACAACATGCAACTCGAGGCATGGAGACATGTGTTTATGTGGCCATGTATTACACTGACTGAATGGTGCAGGAGTACCCTCAATGTACAAAATTTCTAGTTGTGTAAATGAGATGTAATCTACCCCAAGGACTAGGACAGGCATATTCGTCATCTGTCTAAGAATATTTTTAGCAGTTTAGTATCAATTTCCCCCTACTGACATATTAGGGTGCATTGATTTTTCCCTAATTTACCTCAAGTATTTATTTATGTTGTCTCAGCCTCTCATTTGCAAGGGTCAATGAAGTTTAGGATGGAATTTTCAGAAACTATGTATAACTTAAGGACTTTTCCCACTACCTTTTAATTAAAGGTAAACTCCAAAGGAATATCTAGTTAATTCTAGTTATTCGCCTTCAATTATAACCTCCCTAGCTCCAGATGCATACATTTCCTATAGAGTTATTATGGGCAACCTGGAAATATGGCTCCCACAGTCAATCATTTGGGACACCTTTAACATAAGTGAAGCACTAGAAACTAAAGATTTCTCCTCCCATCCCTGAGCCAATAATCTAATGAACCATACAACTATCTCAACAGGTCCAGCAGGACTTCTGATGTTTGCTCATTGGAGAGCAACTTCTACTGACAGTTCATTTTTAAATCTTAAACTGCATTTGCACTGCAGAAATAATCCAGGTTGACAGCACTTTAACTTCCATGGCTCCATGCTATGGAATCCTAAAATCTCTAGTTTGTTGTTGTACTAGAGTTCTCTGACAGAGAAGGCTAAATATCTCACAAACCTACAAATCCCAAAATTCCACAGCATTGAGCTATGGCATCTAAAGTGTTGTCAAACTGTATTCATTCTGCAGTGCTGATGCAGCCCTGATGGGAGTTTCAAAGAAGTCTGTGATACAGCTTCAAAAGCAACTATTCAAAGCAAGTAAATTGCACTGAGCATATATAAGCCCTTAGACATACCTGAAAGAACACTCTGGACTCTGGCCCAGGTATATTTTTTAACACAAAGGCCAAATCTTTATTAGAATAGACAGCAGTGGTTTATAACTGGAGAATCTCATCTGGATTGCCTTTAACAAGCTCTCTCACTCAAGCTAAAAAGGTTTGCAGCTTAGACCTCAACAGTAACTTAAAAGAAAACGTGCTGGAGTTATTTTCTCAAAACAGTTTTAAAAATTCAAGTATATTTGCATTCCCCAGGCTTTTAAGAAAGAGAAATATATCTCTCACATAATAAATCCAGTTAAACAGGCATCTTATTCCAAATATGTTACCATGCTATAAATACAAATGTTAATCAACATTTTTCCAGAAGTTTTACAAATGGCTAACATGAAGCATGTCAATACTGATAAAAAAAAATTGATTTGCAGTAAGATCAATGTACAGAAGGATAAGATTGAGGATTTCTCCCCTATTCCAAACACATATAGAATTTTCAAGGCTCAAAAAGAAGCCACTAGTCCAGTGACAGCATAATATCCCCAATATCCTAATCATGGTTTAAAATATCGTAAGGATTGCAAGTCCATGGGAAGAGAGCATATCACCTAAATATAGCTGGGAGGTAGAAGACTGCGCACTGTATCTCCAAAGAGCCATGATAACAGAATAATTAACAGTTAGGCAATTGAAGCAATTAACACTGTGCAGGCTCCATAAAAATCTTAATTTTTAAATTGTCCAGATTTTATGATAATTGTCCAACTATCCATTGGGGTGTAAATTTTAAATAAACACTATCATGTCAGATGAGTAATGCTTCTGTAAATTAAAATGTCACAGGGAAGACAACTAGGTTTAGGTTTTTGATTTTCCATGGTGAGACATAGCTGGAGCAAACTCTCCAATACCATACAGAAATCCAGAAAATAATTGGATCCAGACTTCTAATAAATGTATGCCTCAGCATCCATCTTCTTTGATAAACTGGTCTGATAAGCAAGCAGCACATTTGTAGTTTATGCCTTTGCCTTACTTTGATCATTAGCCTTTCCATGCAATGCAGACACTCATGAGCAAATAACAGATCTTTCAGCTTAACTTTCCTCTTTGATAACCTGAAGGTTTAAAAAAAATTGGGGGGGGGGCTTGTAAGCACTATTCAAATCCAAAGTAAGAAGTAATTGAAAATCTTACTCAACAAGAGCAGTAGGTTTTAAACACAATTTTGGGTCCTTAACTGCATTCTTCAGAATTCCTTACCCCTTTGTGGAGATCATTTCAGCAGCTGCCAGCAGAGCATAGTAAGGACTTTGTAAAAATGTATGCTCAGTTTATGTTATTATACCTTCTTAATGGATTATAACCTCAAATTATTCAAGAAACCACAGGTAGTTCTGCTTTTTTCTTATCCAATTTACACTGGAATAATGGACTCAATAGGCTGAACAACTGGAATCATCATTAGCAATTACCAATTCTTGTCACATAATGTAAGGGTTTACTGTCAGGACTGGCCCAAATAATTTTGTTGCATGTGGAAAAGTAAAAGGCTTTGCCCACCACTGAAGTCACAGTGGACAGCATTCAAAACTACAATTAAATATGGGTGAAATAGATGGCCCCTTTGTGACAGCTTCCTGGCAGCTTGGAGACATGACGTTTAGACAATGCACACCCCCAACTGCTGGGAGGCCTCTGTGAAGCCGGCCAGCTGACCAACCAACCACACGGCGGCAGCTTTTTGGCATTCCAGCAGCATGTGTTTAGATGCCGCACACCACAGGAGCACCAAAACACCACCGCCGCAGTGGAAAAGCCAGCTTTTTCCCAGCTTTCTGCTGCTTCTTCCTGAAATGGCAAAAT